CAGGAATATCAGGAAAACACAGCGTTTTTCACCAGGGCCATCTCTAGGAAGATCTTGGAACTTTGGAAAATCTGGTAAACGGTATTTTTTCAAGAGCAGGAGGATGATAATCAAATCGTGTAGCTTCAACAGGGCAGCGTTGGCCGTCGGCTGCCCCCCGTCAGTTGTGAACGCAGCCCCCCAATCAGTTCTGCGAGCAGCCTCCTGCTACGAAACATTACTCGCAAAACTAGCTGTGAACGCCGCTCCACACCTAGTTTTGTGAGTGATGTCTTCCTCCTCACCCTCGTCATGCTCCTCACCCTCCTCTTCTTCCTCCTCCTACTCCTCCTGCTCCTCCCCATCCTTCCTCCTCCTTCTTTTCTTCACTCAACCCCACCTCTCCGCTTCATGGCGTCACTCACAAATCTAGTTGCGAACGCAGCTCCGCAACCAGTTTTGCGAGCAGCCTCTTGATAAGAGACATTACTCGCAAATCTAAATGTGAACGCCGCTCCACACCTAGTTTTGTGAGTAAGGTGTTGCTCCTCACCTTCGTCATGCTCCTCACCCTCCTCTTCTTCCTCCTCCTACTCCTCCTGCTCCTCCCCCCTTCCTCCTCCTTCGTTTCTTCACTCTACCCCCACCTCTCCGCTTCGTGGCGTCACTCGCAAATCTAGTTATGAACGCAGCTCCACAACCAGTTTTGTGAGCAGCCTCCTGCTACGAAACATTACTCGCAAAACTAGCTGTGAACGCCGCTCCACACCTAGTTTTGTGAGTAAGGTGTTGCTCCTCACCTTCGTCATGCTCCTCACCCTCCTCTTCTTCCTCCTCCTACTCCTCCTGCTCCTCCCCCCTCCTCCTTCTTTTCTTCACTTTACCCCCACCTCCCCGCTTCGTGGCGTCACTCGCAAATCTAGTTGCGAACGCAGCTCCCCAATCAGTTCTGCGAGCAGCCTCCTGCTACGAAACATTACTCGCAAAACTAGCTGTGAACGCCGCTCCACACCTAGTTTTGTGAGTAAGGTGTTGCTCCTCACCTTCGTCATGCTCTTCACCCTCCTCTTCTTCCTCCTCCTACTCCTGCTGCTCCTCCCCCCTCCTCCTTCTTTTCTTCACTTTACCCCCACCTCTCCGCTTCGTGGCGTCACTCACAAATCTAGTTGTGAACGCAGCTCCCCAATCAGTTCTGCGAGCAGCCTCCTGCTACGAAACATTACTCGCAAAACTAGCTGTGAACGCCGCTCCACACCTAGTTTTGTGAGTGATGTCTTCCTCCTCACCCTCGTCATGCTCCTCACCCTCCTCTTCTTCCTCCTCCTACTCCTCCTGCTCCTCCCCATCCTTCCTCCTCCTTCTTTTCTTCACTCAACCCCACCTCTCCGCTTCATGGCGTCACTCACAAATCTAGTTGCGAACGCAGCTCCGCAACCAGTTTTGCGAGCAGCCTCTTGATAAGATACATTACTCGCAAATCTAAATGTGAACGCCGCTCCACACCTAGTTTTGTGAGTAAGGTGTTGCTCCTCACCTTCGTCATGCTCCTCACCCTCCTCTTCTTCCTCCTCATACTCCTCCTGCTCCTCCCCCCTTCCTCCTCCTTCGTTTCTTCACTCTACCCCCACCTCTCCGCTTCGTGGCGTCACTCGCAAATCTAGTTGTGAACGCAGCTCCACAACCAGTTTTGTGAGCAGCCTCCTGCTACGAAACATTACTCGCAAAACTAGCTGTGGACGCCGCTCCACACCTAGTTTTGTGAGTAAGGTGTTGCTCCTCACCTTCGTCATGCTCCTCACCCTCCTCTTCTTCCTCCTCCTACTCCTCCTGCTGCTACGGCTCCTGATCACTCAGCCCCCTCCTCTCCACTTCGAGGCGTTACCCTCCAATCTAATTGCGAATGCAACTCCACAACAAACCTTGCGAGCAACCTTCCGCTACGAATCATTATTCACAAAACTTGTTGTGAACGCCGCTCCACAGCTAGGAAGAGGCGGTGGAAAATGGGGGAGGATGTTGCTCAACTATGGCTGGTGCCACTGGAGCTCGGCATTCACCAGATGACGCGGAGGAGGAGGAGGAGGAGAACAAGGGGCTCAATTTTGAGGAGTAGGGCAAATATGGTTTGGAGGAGAAGGTGGAGGAGGAGGTGGTGGAGGGGGAGGAGGAGGAGACGATGAGCAGGAGGACAAACATTGGGAGGAGGAGGAGAAGGAGGAGGAGGAAGAGGTGAATGAGGATTCAGAGAAGGAGGAGAAGGAAGAATAGTAGGAGGATTCTGATGAGGAGGACAAACATGAGGGAGAGCTTGAGGAGAATTTAAAGAAGGAGGAGGGGAAGAGAAGCAGGAGGAGGACAATGAGTTTAAATTTGCGGAATCGGAATAGGAGGAGGACAACATGCCGAAGAGGAGATGGAGGAGGATTCAGAGAAGGAAGATGAAGAGGACAAGGAGGAGGAGGAGGAGGAGGAGGAGGAAGAGGAGGACAAGGAGTTTGAAAGTGAGAGGGGGTAGGAGGAGGAGAATGATGAGGACAAACATGAGGAAGAAGTGGATGAGGATTCATAGAATGAGGAGGACGAGGGGAAGGAGAAGGAAGAGGAGGAGGAAGAGAAGAGTTGAGGCCAATGCATTTGATTTTGAAGCGGAGGGGGAAGAAGACAAACATAAGGAGGAAGAGGATGTGGAGGAGGATTGGGAGACGGTAGAGGAGGAAAATGAGGAGGAGGACGAGGAGGACAAGGCGTTTGGTATCGAGGAGGAGGAGGAAGAGGAGGACGAGGAGGAGAGGACAATTATGAGGAGAAGGTGGAGAAAGCTTCAAAGAAGAAAGATGAGAAAGAGAAAGAGAGGGAGGGGGAGCTCGAGGTTGAGAAGGAGTAGGATGCTGAGGAGGAGGAGGAGGAGGGGCATCATAAACATGAGATGGTGAGATTGGATTGCAATGCGCCGCGAAAGACTGAAGTCGCTTCGCGCTGAAGTGTTTGGATTGCAATCGACGGAATTGCGGTTTGCAACGTAGCAAACCATCATGAAGAAAAACAGGAGGAAGGAACGGGTTATGATGACTGGAGGGATGATGGGAGAATGTGTATGATCATGTGGGGGGGGCGAGCTATAGCCAGCTATAGCCAGCACAGATGCCAAGAAACATCCTGCTTGCCTCGAGGGTGCCCTGGTATTCTTGGGTTTCGATGGTTGTGATATGAAGAGCGCGGCTTTCCCACACCAAAAATCAATGGACGCCCTGGGGTTCCAGGGTTGGGTTTCTTGTGGAAGGTTTCTTTAGGCGAGCTTCTAGTGTATCTGGGATGTCGAAGCAACTGGAAAAGGTGACCCAGCTGGTTGAGCCCATCTCCGTGCAGGTCTGTGGCACTGCCGATCGGCGTGTACTATCCCAGTGCCAGCAGGGCTTTCTGAATTGATGGTCTTCTTTGACAAGTATGTCCTGCTTCCTGTTTCTAGATTTTGGCCGCTCCGCTTTGGCCCACTGCCCCGCAGTGATCAGTGAGTCTCGTTGCCCTACCTCAGATCCAGACCAGCTCAACTGCTCGTCCGTCACACAGGCGAGGGGCGTCTCACAAGACGACCCTGCGCCCGAGCTCAGGGGCAGAAGACTTCGCAGTGCCCTCACGGCAATCGCGCCCTGCCGCCTCGCACTGTCGAGCTCTCCAGAGAGGGTCGGCGCTGACGGCGCTGCCGCGCGGGCGGTAGGCGCGCGCGTGCCCGTGCCTCTCTTTGCCTCCGGCCTCCGCGGCTCCCGCCTCCCGCCTCCGGCCTCCCGCACCAGGGGGCCCGGGCTCGCCTCCAGGGTTTTGCCAGCCTTCTGCGATTCGGTTTCCAGGGTTTTGCCAGCCTTCTGCGATTTGGTTTCGTCTTTTCTCTCCGACAGAAAGAAAAAACCTGGAAGGGATGCTTTTTGTTGTTCGGCGCCGCTGAAGGTTGGTGGCCGCGCTGTCCAACGAGTCTCCTCCTCCCCCCCCCCCCGTGCCCTCCCCGGGCAGGCCGGGAAGGGAGGGAGAGGCCGCTCCAGATCGTGTTGAGGGGGGCCTGCTAAGGCCAGCCAGCACCACCTGAGCGACGCAAAAACACAGGGTCGTCTGCGCCGACGTTGGCGCGTAAGCTGCCCTTGTAAGGTCGGTCGTAAGCGCACTGGTCTCGAATAAAGCGTGCCACGCTGGCGGCCCGCGTAAGCCACCGCGTAAGGTCGCTACGTCATCTCGCGTAAGACCCCCTGCGGGGCTATTTGGGCTCCGCCCGACGCCTTGCCACCAGCGTGGATCCATGTCCCTGAGTAGATCCAACCTGAAGCAGGTGCCGATCTCAAGGATCCCCTCGGTTCGCAGAGGCACGTCCCCAAGATTGTCATCGCCTTGGGCTCGTCGATCTCAGAGGTACAGTGGAAGCCCATGCCAAGAAACACCCTGCTTGCCTCCAGGGTGCCCTTGTATTCTTGGGTTTCGATGGTCTGGCAATGGAAAGCGTGACGCTCCCACAGCAAAAATCAGTGCACGTCCTGGGTTCTCAGGGCTGGATTTCTTGTGGAAGGTTTCTTGTTGTCGGGCCCCTACTGCAGGGAATCATGCCCCTGGGCTACCGTGCGCTAGCCCTGCTTAGGAGGAAGGGGAGGAGGAGGAGGAGGAGGAGGAGGAGGAGGAGGAGGAGCAGGAGGGGAAGGAGGAGGAGGAAGGAGTGGAGGAAGAGGAGGAGGAGGAGGAGGAGGAGGAGGAGGAGGAGGAGGAGGAGGAGGAGGAGGAGGAGGAGGAGGAGGAGCAGCAGGAGCAGGAGCAGGAGCAGGAGCAGGAGCATGAGCAGGAGGAGGTGGAGAGGAGGAGGAGGAGGAGGAGGAGGAGCAGGAGCAGGAGGAGGAGGAGGAGGAGGAGGAGCAGGAGCAGGAGCAGGAGGAGGAGGAGGAGGAGGAGGAAGAGTGGGAGGAGAGGCCTGGGATACGCTCGAGGCCACACACGGCAGGCCGCCGCTCGCGCTCCTCCTGCCCTCCCCTCCTGTGGGCGCCGGGGAGGTGGACCCCATGGGCGGCGTGTCGGCCGCTGGGGGCGCGGAGAAGGACGAGGAGGGGCGCAGCTGGGAGGCCCCCCCTTTTCGCCGCCAAAGGGTCGGGCCGGACGAAAGGGGGGGATTGGGAAAGGGGGGGTTACGAAATCTGCTGCATGCAGCTGGTTTCGGCCCCACCGAGGGGCCAGTTCCTCGATACATGGGCGCCTCCGGCGCCGGGAGGCGCCTGGAAAATCAGCTACGTGAGCTGATTCTCAACCCCCCCCTTTGCTATCCCCCCCTTTCGCCCGACCCGACAAAGGGGGAGGAGGCGTGTCGAGGTTTCTTGTGCAGTCGGCCCGCATGGTAAGGATGGGCAACCTTCCCCATCCTCGCCTCCTCGGCCCATCCTCGGCCACGTTCCTCGGCCGCGCCCCGCTCGAGAAGCTTCGAGATGAGCGTCCAGGGCCCTCGCATCCTTCTCGCGCATTCTTGTGATACGGGCCGGCTGTATCCTCCACGACAGCACCCCATGTCGGGTATGGCCAGGACCCCAGGTAAGGGGACCCGGTTAGTGGTAGGGCCCCAAGACCTTTCTGAAATGGCCAACATCAGTAAACCAGGTTTGCCATACCTGGTGTTTTTTCGGGTGACGGCAGTTCCCGTTAGTGGAAATGGGACGGGGGGGCGCCCCCGGTACAGATCATTAAACCAGGTTCCCGTCAACCCAGGTCTGCCAACGCCCGGACATGGGGCTCTCCACAAAGGGGAGGCGGCGGATCGAGGTCTCGTTCACCCTCCGCGACAGCACTCGAGGAATAACAACCGCCATTAGCATATAAACCTCTGGCGCTCCGCGCGGGCCCGAGGAGGAAACGCCACCGATTCCGCCGCTCCTTTAACGAGCTCGCGTCGCCACGGGCGGATTTCAGGAGGGAAAAACACACAGACACAATTAATCGTCGATCCCCGGGAAAATATAGGAAACTATGGGAAGTGGGGGGAAAACAAAAACCCTGAAAATATAGGAAAATATGGGCAATCCTGTTATGTGTGTATTGATTCGTGTGTCCTGGGGCCCCTTCAGGATCCTCCTTGGAGGCACTTGCTGGAAAGGGGGGAGGGGGCCCGAGGAGGAACAGGGCACCGATGCCGCTGCTCGTTCCGGAGAGAGCTCGCCTCGCGTCGCCACGGCCGCGGAATCTCTCCGCGGCGGTCCTGGGCAGGCCGCGCGCCCCGGGAGAGGTGCCGAGGGCCCCGGGGCCGCGGCGGTGCGGTGCGGCTTTTTACTGCCTGCTCCCCCCAGGGGAAGGCGGGCCGAGGAGGCGGGCCGAGGAGGACGGAGGCTCGAAGGCTGGAGGCTCGAGGCTCTCGGACCTTTTGAGTGCCAGTTTGAAGCATATGTCCCTAATCCCTGTCTTTTGGCACCGCCTCGCCTCGATGCCGATCTTCTGTAAGGCCTCCCCGAGTTTCTGAGGGCCCAGCCCTCTGATGCGGTCCTCGTGTTTGGCTCGCCCGTCTTGGGAATAGGGGCAAGTTCGGGCGTGTCCCTCTACGGGAGGAACTCCCAACGCAGTTCAAAACATCGTCCGCGGACGATGCCTCGACCATTTTGTTGACACGTGTTGGAATCTTGCTGACTGCTCTTCGAATGCTTGTTTCCAAGATCGGCCCGCAGGGGGACACGCCCGCTCGAGACCGAGTGTGGGAGGAGGGCCGAGGCTCGAGGGGGGCAGGGCGAGCGAGGAGGAGGAAGGCCGAGGCCCGAGGGCGAGCGAAGGGCCGCGGGCCGCAGCGCAGGGAGGCATCGCCCCCCCCCCCCTTCGGGGGTGGACGGACCTCCTGCCCGGACACGTCGAGCAAGGAGCTGGCCGTTTGTCGCTCCGCGAGAGGGCGTCGCGGCCGTCCTTTTCTGCGGGTCCAGGGTCCGTCGGCCTCGGCCCCAGGCCGTCTTCACCAAAGGGGAGGTCTACACTCTAGGCGATGTTTAAGAAAACCAAAGTTTTCGGCCAGAGTCTCGATTATTCTTAATGTTTCAATGTAGATCCTAAGATTTGAATGGAACTTTTTGGTTTTTTATTCAAGTTCTGAGACTATGAATTTCTTAACCCATGATTTCTAAAGCATTTCGCAGGGTGTACTGAAGGGAGGCTCGTCCACCGCCGACCCCCGCGGCGAGGCAGGGGGTGGGCGTGCCGAGCGGGGTCGAGGAGCAGAGGTGGCCCGACGGTGCCGTTTTCGATACACGCTCCGCGCGCGGATCCTGTACTACAAAATACAGGGAATTAGTATCAGAAACAACGAGGAGTGCATGCATACATCCAATCATACTTTCTTCATGGATGAAAAGTCTCATATGTTACAAGATCTTGTGTAATGAAAAAACTGCCCTGTGAGCTGAAGTCGGACGTGCCCGTCTACAGGAGGAGTACCCAAAGATAGTCCAAAAGCAATCCTGGAACGATTCGTCGAATCGTTTGTCGAAAATGGTTTGGAGTATTTTCAGAGTTGTATATAAAAAAAACGGTAGGCCAGCAGTCTTCCAACGTCCGCCCGTAGGGGGACATGCCCGGCCTGAGTCGAGCAGGATCGAGGAGCAGAACCGAGTACCCTTGGCGGCAGGTGGTCCTCACCCGCGCTTCGGACCACGCGGGAGGCCACACAGGAAGCCACACGGGAAGGCGGGACGGAGGATCGAGGTTCAAGGGTTGAGGCTCCAGGTTTTCGGATCGAGGTTGCGGCATGACCGGGGTTCGAGGAGGAGGCCTCCAGAGGGTCGAGGATTGACGCAAGGGAGGATCCAGCGAGACTTCGTGAGACCTCAGGGAATGGGGGGGGGGGAGGGAGTGAGGAGCAGGGCTGGAAGAGCTGTTGGGAAGGTCTTCCAATGTTTTCCAGGCTTTGCGGGTGGGTTCCAAAGCCTCCAGACCTCTCCCGTCACATTGAACCCGTTTTTGCGCCCCCAAGCGGGCGACCAACAGTGGCGCCGCGCGGGCCTATAACATCAACTCCACAGCAGAATGACCTTTCAAATTTGTGCTAGCATTTGTCACGTCTGAGTATGGAATTGTTTAACCGTAGTTTTTCCGTGTGCGTGAATAACACTACATGTGTGTGTGTGCTTGCCACGCCGTTTTTATTGGAAGTTTGCTGTACCCTGAGATTCATCATAGCTCTGGCTCTTGCGTCATTTCGACCTGCTTCGCAGTAAGTTCTGCAGGTCGAGCTTTACGGCTTCCTCTCACGACCTCGAAGCGCGCCAAAAATGACGTTTGTCTCGCGAGTGATTCGGGAAATTCCTTTCGAAGTTGCTCCATCGTTTCAGGCATGGATTTGCACCCTCCATCGTGCCATTGTTTTCGGGGATTCCGATCGAGTCTCGTATAGCGCAGACGTCGCCGAGGTCGAAGACTGGGGCTCAGATTGACGGCGCCAGCGTGCTCGCAAGCCGAGCCCAGCCCCGATTAGCAGCATCCGTGTCGACCCGACCGATCCGATTCGATATCGATTCAGGCCGGCACGATCCGATTCGATTTGGGTTCTCCATCGATCCGATGCCGCCCGATGTTCGAACGGCACGGCCGTGCATCCTGGCGCGTCCGATCCGATCTGCTTCCGACTCCGCGCCGATGCGGCTCGAACCGGAGCATCATGATCCGATGCAGTTTTATCGATTCGATGCCGACCGCCTCCGAGGAGGTGGTGCTGATGCTGCTGGTGATAATGAGAATGACGACGCCGAAGATGGCGGTGGCGATGACGCTGACGATGATGATGATGATGATGATGATGATGATGATGATGATGGTGATGATGGTGATGATGATGATGATGATGATGATGATGATGATGATGATGATGATGATGCAGCTTATCGATTCGATGCCGACCGCTCCTGAGGAGGTGGTGCTCATGCTCGACCGCCTCCAGGAGAAGATCAAGGCCAAGCGCCTCGCCGGCCTCGGGAACGAGCAGCCGTGAGCGGCCGCCCTACCGCCCGGACCCCGAAGAGGCCAGGGCCGTCCGGGGATGCCCCGGCGGGGGCCGGGAGGGGGCAGTGCAGAGGGACCGAAGAGGGGGTGATGATGGATACGGTTGTTGTTGTTGATGACGATGAGGAGGAGGGAGAGGAGAATGAGGATGAGGATGAGGATGAGGAGGAAGATGAGGATGAGGATGATGATGTTGGTGGTGATGATGATTGCGAGTTTGGTGAGGATAGTGATGCTGATGCTGCTGGTGATAATGAGGATGATGACGCTGAAGATGGCGATGGCGATGACGATGACGACGATGATGATGCTGCTGATGATAGTGACGATGAATATGATGATGGTGATTATTATGGTGATGAGGATGGTGGTGGTGGTGGTGATGCTGATGATGGTTATGACAATGATGATGCTGATGCTGATGATGATGATGATGATGATGATGATGCTGATGCTGATGCTGCTGCTCATGATGATGATGATGATGATGATGATGATGATGACAATGGTGATTGTGATGGTGATGGTGATAGTGATGATAATGATGGTTATGATTCTGATTATGATGATGATGTTGCTGATGATGCCATGATTATGGTGCATCGCCATCGCCATCATAATCCTCCTTAGCATTACCATCACCATGCTCATCATCATCATCATCATCATCATCATCATCATCATCATTATCATCATCATCATCATCATCATCATCATCACCATACTCATCACACTCACCACCAGCATCATCATCAGCAGCATCAGCAGCAGCAGCATCATCAGCATCATCATCGTCATCATCATCTAGTGCTTCCCAGCCGACTGGGCGGGGTCGTTAGGCTGAGAGACACAAGCTTCCGACCCGCGGCCAGCAGGCCCCAATGGTCCCGATGCTCCCTGGGTATCCCGCCTCGCGTCTTCGTCGAACGACGATTGCATACCGCGGCCGCCAGGCCCCAAGGGGCCGGGGGATCTCGGGTGGGGATCGCTCGAAGTACTAGATATATTTCTTCCAGGTGATCGTTTTCTTATTCATTTGGTCTTGGCTGTTGTGGGCAACCCTCCTTCAAAAGCAGGTGGAGGCTCCTCCACAGGACGCACTTCCGCAAACAATCGCATCAAGCAGAGGTCCGGAGCCAGAACCCCCCCCTCCCCCCCCCTTCCGCCCCGATGTCGAAACGCCGAAGAAGAAAACGTTCACCAGGCCATCCCAGCCGCGCATGGGGATGGGCTGCGGGGCCGGGGGGGTGGGGGAGCAGCGGAAAACGCCGGCTGGGCCTAGCAGAGAAGGCCGGCGAGAGAGGCAGTCACAGGTCAGAGTCAGAGGGGGAGGCAGCGGGTAGCCTGGGCACGGCAGACGACCGTCCCACCCCCCGGGCACGGCAGACGACCGTCCCACCCCCCCCCTCCTCGCAAGGCCCCTGGAGAAGTGACGTAAATTTTTGCGGGAGGTTTTCGGCCAGATTCGGCTCCCGGGGGCCCTTACCCAGGACCCAGGACCGCAGAAAGCGGCTCAGGATGGAACAGGCCCGTCTTGGGTGAGTTCTCTAGAGTCTGACGTCGCGCAATGTGGGGGCGACAAGGGGGGGAGGGGCAGCGAGTGCTGCAGAACAGAGGCCCTTGAGGGCCCCTGAAGGGGCCATTGGGGGCCCCAAAAAGTGTCTTTTGACGGCTCGAGAAGTACACCCCTCATCCATCCCCCCCATTCTCACGCAGTGGCGAAGCGTCTCCGCTCGCCTTTAGGCCCACCAAAGAGTGTTCTAAGAGCCTCTTGTGGTCGCTACGGAATGTTCTTAGACCATTTCTTGCTGATACTTATTTGTTTTCACGCGTGCAGTTGTTACACTGTCTTGTTCTGGTTATTGGAGCATGCCTATGACGTCGTAGACCTACAGGAATGTCGGGACGGCCGGTCCTTGCTCAAACATCGCCCCAGATCGATTTGGAACGCCCTCAGAGCGAGCCAGGGCTCTCTGCAACGGCCGCGACGCCCGATGCGTCCTCCAGGCCCTCCCGCTCTCACAGATCCGATGCAAATATTCATCGAGATGTTTCAGTAACAAATCAGGACAGCCTGGCGTACCCTCGTGATTCCGTCGTTAGCGTAGCATCGATTAGCGTTTGCGAGTCGATGAGACAGCGCCAATTTAGCGTCGGGTAGCGTCGATTAGCGTCGGGACGGCCGGTCCCTGCTCAGCACACATCGCCCCCCCTAGGAAGCGACGCCCAATCGACCTCCAGAGGTGCCCAGGTCGTGTCAACAAAAAGGAAGCACGACGTCGGAGGTCGGGGCCATGGCGCCTTCTCGCAGCATGCAGGACATGCCAAGGAAAGAGTGCACAGTGGGGACCCATGCCAAGGAACACCCTGCGTGCCTCCAGGGCGCCCTGGGTTTCCTTGGGTTCGATGGTACTGCGATGTAGAGGTGGGACGCTTCCGCACCAACAATCAAGGGACGCCCTGGGGTCGCAGGGTTTGGTTTTTGCGTTAGGTTTCGTGAACTTGGCCTCCCTTTCTATAGGAGGATGCCGAGGAAAAAGTATAGAATGACGGGGAAGAACTGCCCCGCGGGGGCCGCCACGCAGCAGCGCTACAGCCAACCCGCACAGCATTGAATAAGTAGAAGAAGAAGAAGACGAAGAAGAAGAAGGAAAGACGCCATAAACATAAACTCTTCGGCAATCCGCGCGGATTCCTGGGATCGGCGCCCAGGCCCCCCCGGCGGCGCTTCTGGCGCCGCCCTTGCAGGCTCCGCGCGCCAGGGAGGGGCCCTTCAGGACCCCGAAAATGGGGTCTCGACGGCTCGAGGAGCACAGCTTTCGTCCCCCCCCCCGCCGCCCCACTCTCGAGCAGTGGCGAAGCGGCGTCCTGGCTCGCCTATAGGCCCACCGAAGAATGTTCTGAGAGCCTCGTGCGGTCTGCACGACATGGTCTCAGAACACTCCTGGCCCGGGCCCCCCCCGGGCGGCGCCTCCGGCGCCGCCCCCGGCACGCTCCGCGCGCAAGGGAGGGGGGGGGTCTGGCGCGAATCCAAGATATCCGCGCCGCGGAGCGCCACAAGTTGATGTTTATGTGTTTCTTGATCGGCCTGTTTTCCACCACCACCACCATAAGTTGGAGGGGGAGGGGGTCCTCCTCCTCCTCCTCCTCCTCCTCCTCCTCCTCCTCCTCCTCCTCCTCCTCCTCCTCTTCGTCCTCCTCCTCCTCGTCCTCCTCCTCCTCCTTCCCCCTCCAACTTATGGTGGTGGTGGTGGAAAACACGCCCATCATTTCTCCCTTCTAACCGTAGGGATGAGAATTCTTTCGAGGGTCCCCTTGCATCCTTCCCAGAATCTGCCCCTCCCTGGCTGTTTTCACGGGCCCCGCCCCGCCCGCGGAGGGCCCGCAGGACCGTCCCGGGCCCGTGCATCCATCTTCGCGCGTCCTTGTGAGACGGGCTGGCTGCACAGGATGCCGCCAAGGCAAACGTGGGATGACGCTGAAGAGAATGCCTGGGGCGCGTTCACGCAGCAGCGCCCTCGGCGGGGATCGGTAAGATGGCCCCCAGGCCTGCTCGCGGGCGTAGCCGTCGTTCGTCATTGGGATTATTTGGTCGCCCTCATCCGAAGTCTTCACCAGCGGCGGCAGAAAACAATTTGTTATTCATTCCAACCCGACATCCTTCGATATTGTTGCTTCAGTCCGCGCCCCCAGAGCTCCCGAACACTTCTCCAGGGGTAAGGTTGCGTCCAGGATCTATCTTTTGTGGTCCCTGAGCCCAGTGACGGGTGCCAGCGTCCGAAATCGAGAACAAACGCCTTGATTGAAGAAGGCAGATCGCCAGACCCAGAGATCCGACGCCCCGACAAAAATTGGAGCGGTGGTTTGGGGAGCTATTTTCGGCCTCCGGGGGCCCTCGCTGGGCCTCGGGAGCCTCAGCAGAACGACTCAGTACGAAAAACCAGCCCCAGGGAAGTGGTCCAGACAGCTGGGGAACGCGCACCAACAAAAACTGGGGCGGCGGGCTGTCGGGGGAGGTATGGGCATTCTGTCTTTTCGGATGCACTTCCTGGGAGGTCAAATTTCGATTTTACCCTGATCCGAAATCCGGCTTAATCCTATTTAATTCGGCTTCATCCGGCTGAATCCCACTTGATCTGGCTCAGTCCTGCTTAATCCGAGGCCCACTCCGGCGTAACAGCCCCCCAATAGGGCTTAGTTTTCTTTAGGCCTTCCGACGAAGACCTCGCAGCAGTTGCCTCCCCACGTCGTCCACACCCCGACAGTTCGGGGGAGCCAAGCCCTCCTTCCAGCCCTGCACACCGCGGGTGCGGAGGCCAGACCCCCAAGGGGGGTCCCGAGGGCGCTCGCCTCGCCAGCCGCTGCAGACTGCAGGCCGCGGAGGCTGACGCGCGGCTCCCTCGTTCCCCTGCCCGAAGAAAAAGTCAAACTGCATAAGTCATCGAGAACAAAGGAGCCCCTGTTTAAGCCTATGCGCGCGATGAAGACGTGGCCTCGCTCAGGTCCCGTCTTCACATTCGGGGCAGATCGTAGATCTGGGCGGCTTGGTCTGCAGCATCTGCAGAAAAAAAGACCCTCTATACCTAATGTGTTGGGCTCTCCTCACTTTGGAACCCCTCCTTCGGGCTTAGGGCTTCGTTTTATTGCTCAGCCATAAACGCAGACTTCCGAAAGTTTGGGCTCTCCTCACTTTGGTCCCCTCCTTCGGGGTTAGGGGTTCGCTTATTGCTCAGCCATATAAACACAAACTTCCGAAGGCTCTCGCTGAGTTTTTGGATCGGCGGTGGACCCCCCCCCCCCTGGCGGCGCCCGCGGGCTCCAGGAACGGGGAAGGGGGTCCAGCTCCGACCTCATCAGGGGCGGAAAAGAGGGGGGGGGGGGTGGCTATAGGGGGGGGGGGGATATCACGGCGTGGGCCATGATCTCTCCCCAGATTTCGTGGCGCCTCTTCTTGTGTTGTTACGTCCCTGGCCCCCCCGCTGGGCCGCGCACATGCCGCCGGTCATGATTTGCACCCCCCCCCTCTTGGACACCCCCCTCCTTGGCCGCTCCCGACTTAAGACATCGGCGCCGATTCCATGTCGATGTCTCCCCCTCCCCGGGCCAGCCCCTGCACCTCACCTTCCCCAGCTCAGGGGAGGGCAGCAACTGATGCTGCTGTCCTCGCCTCGTTTTCGCCTTTTGTGGGCCTCCAGTCTACGAAGGCCCCTGTCGCCATGGCTGGAGTCGGCTCGAAATTCTGGTCAGAAGGCACCCCGGGAGAGGTCAGGGGAGTAGCGGTATCGGTGACATTCGGTTTCCCCATCAGCGGTGGTGCCAATTTCTAGGTCTCCGCAGAAGGGGAAGTGGCACGTATACGGAGGATGGAGACATTCTTGGTCGTAATCAGGGTGTGCTGGCCTCTTCTCTGGAGCACAGAGCGCTCCTGAGATTTTTTTGTCTGTCTTCTATAGGTGCGTTACTGCGCAGTTTTGCCCGAGGATGCTACGATGGCCTTCGCTCCCACATGGCATTCGCAGAAAAGTTTAGATAGAGCATGGAGGGTTGCAGTGTTTGCGCGCGCGCGTGAGATGTGTGTGTGTGTGTTCTTGTGTGTGTGCGCGGCACAGATGGGCAGCACGATACATACACGATACTAGGATGATATAGTGTACAGACTAAACATGCTTGGTCGCAGCGCTGGCGGTCGTGCAGCGCGGTCGGAGTTGAAGCCACATCACATATGAGATGCAGGGGGAGAGAGAGAGAGAGAGAGAGAGAGAGAGAGAGAGAGCAAGAAGGAGAGAGAGAGAGAGAGAGAGGGAGAGAGGGAGCGAGACTGAGAGAGCCAGAGAGAGAGAGAGGGAGGGAGAGAGAGCAAGAGAGAGATCAAGGGGTTTGAAGGCGACCGACTGCGCAAGAGGACGGCGAGGGCATAAGGGAGGGAGGGGGGTCCCGGACGGCGACGCGCACAGTAGAGGGGAGGAGGGGAAGCGGCGGAGAGGCCGAAGGGGAAGGCGAGGAGAGGGTGAGTCACCGAGTGCGCTCCACTACTCGCAAAGTGCCTACTCGCAAACGTCCGACAACAAAACACATGTCTTCCTTTATGGAAAACTCGCCAGTGTGGTCTCCAAGCAGTAGTCTCTTGCAGTCTACGCGGCGCAATCTATGTGGTGCAACGTATGCCATACAACGTGTGTAATGCAATCTACGCGATGCAATGTATGCGGTGCAATCTATATTGTGCAATGGATTTTTACACATGATTTGACACATCCCACGCTCTTGCAAACATCCCACCCACCCACCCGCAACTTGGTTTGCAAAACCTCTTAAGACCGACTACGACGACACCGACGACAACGACTAAGACGACACCGACGACGTCTCCGACGACATCGGCGACGACAACGACGCCGACGCCGACGACGACGAAGATGACGACGACGACGCCAACGAAGACGACGACGAGGGAGGAGGAAAGACGACGACGGCGACAACGACGACAACGACGACAACGACGAGGGAGGAGGGAGGACGGCGACGACGCGAACGACGAAGAAGGAGGAAGGACGGCGACGCCGACGACGGCAACGACGAGGGATGAGGGAAGACGACGACGACGACGACAACGACGACGACGACGACGACGGCGACGAAATAGGAGGGACGACGACGAGACGCCGACGACGGACGACGACGACGACGAGGGAGGAGGAGGAAGGACGACCACGGCGACAACGACGACGGAAACGACCACGACGCAAAAGAGGACGACGACGACGAACACGAGGAAAGACAGAGGACGACGTTGGCGACGACGACGACGACAACGACGCGGGAGGAGGGAGGACGGCGACGACGACGACGACGCAAGAGCGCGCGCGCACGCTTTTGTTGAAAATCCGTGTTGCGAAACTTTGCGTTTTTGTAGGATTTTTGGACACACGACTTTGACATCCTTCCGAAACTGATGGGTTTTGAAGCTTCTCGGCATACGCGCGCGACGACGCGCGCGTCTGCACTTCGTCATATTTTGTGCAGAGGATTCTCGCGACGGCACACGCGCAAGGGCGTTCGACAGATTTCCACATGCGCGCGCGCGACGCCCGTTTGGTAGCATGTTGTGAAAATCTTGGAAAATCCACGGTTTCCTTAAGATTTCGCAAGGGCTCGCGCGGAAGCTTTTTTAGCAAATCAGTGTTGCGAAACCCTGTGTTTTTTGTATGGTGCTTGGAGGCTCGATTGCGAAATCCTTCCGGCACCGACGGTTTTTAAAGGACTTCGGCATGCGCGCGCGACGACGCGCGCGTTTGCACTCCCTTCCGTTTTTTTGCAAGGGATTCGCGACAAAGCGTTATGTCACCGCATAGTGCTTTTCACAAGGGAACCTCAGGGGGGGGAACCAAGCCCCCCGGGGATAGTGTAAATTCAGAAATACATTTTCAGGATGGACATGTGGTCATAATCGCATGTGATTTACATGCCCGAAAGGGGGGCGATAACGCCAGGGGGGGGTAGATCCTATTCTGTCTTTTGAAAGGAGAATAAAGGAGAATCAATCACTTGCTCAACTTGAAGCTGTCCTCTCCACTGCTCGTGCAAACACCCCACCCTCCCAACCGCAGCTTGGTCGCAAGACCTCTTAAGACCGTGACGGTGGGTACCAAATGGCACTTGGCAACGAAACGACGCCGACGACGACAGCGACAACGACGACGACGACGCCGCTGACAACGACTACGACGACACCGACGACGTCTCCAACGACTTCGACGACGACGACGACAGCGAAGACGACGACGACAACACCGACGACGACGACGCCGACGCTGACGATGACGACGACGACGACAACGCCGACGACGACGACGCCGCCGACGACAACGACGACGACGTCGACGCCGACGACGACGAAGACGACGACGGTGATGACGAAAACGACGACGACGACGACGTCGCCGACGAGGGACGAGGGAGGACGACGACGGCGACGACGACAACGACGAGGGAGGAGGGAAGACGACGACGACGACGACGACGACGACGACGACGACGACGACGGCGACGGAATAGGAGGGACAACGACGAAACGCCGACGAAGACGACGAGGGAGGAAGCACGACCACGGCGACAACGACGACGGAAATGACGACGACGCCAAGACGACGACGACGAGGAAAGACAGAGGACGACGACGGCGACGACGACGAAGATGACGAGGGAGGAGGGAGGACGGCGACGACGACGACGACGATGGCGCAAGAGCTCGCGCGTACGCTTTTGTTGAAAACTTGTGTTGCGAAACCTTGTGTGTTTGTATGTTTTTTGGACACGATTTTGAATTCCTTCCGTAACCGAAGGTTTTTTGAAGGATTTCGGCATGCGCGCGACGACGCGCACGTCTGCACTTCGTCACGTTTGTTGCAGAGAATTCTCGCGACGGCACGCGCGCAAGGGCGTTCGAAAGATTTTGACATGCGCGCGCGCCAGGCTCGTTTGGTACCATTTGATTTGAGAAAGTTGTCTAGTATCTGTTGTGACATATATGCGGTGCAATTTGAGGGGCGGCGCTTGTGTGGCACCACGCATGTTGATCTGTGTTGTACAGACTATGTGGTGCAATCTCTGTGGTGCGGTATGTGCCTCGCAATCGACGTTGTGCAACCTGTGTGGTGCAGTTCATGCTGCACAAACTACGTGGTGCAATCTATGATGTGCTGCCTACGTGGTGCAGCGTGTGTTGTGCAAATTTTGGCGGCGCCGGAGCGGCGGCGAAGCGGCGACGGCGAGCACGGAGCCGCCAGACCGCCAGCTGGGCGCAGACGACGAGGCGGCGACGAGGCGGGGACGGGACCGGACGACGGCAAACGCGGATTCGCCAGACCGCCAGGCGGGCACGCTGCCTTAGGCAAACAATAAGACCTCTAAGAGCAAACACTGTTTGGGGTATCCACATGCGTATATATGCATAAATATAACTATATGCACCTATACTTGTGTACATATACATATATATATATATATGTATGCAGACATGCATCTATGTATTTTGATGCCACTCGGGTCTATTGCCCTGTTGTTCTTAGCGCCGCCAGCTCGGCGCGGGAGGGGGTTTAGGAAGAGGGGGACAAGTATGTTTCCCTTGCGGTGGAAACCCCGGGCAGCTTCACACAGTTACGATGGGGGGCCACTAGTGGGCGGCAACGATGAGGCACCGATCTCGGTGGCGCTGGATATGGGGCAACGATTCGGAGGGACGATGAGCCACCGAAATGGGGGGCTCGGTGTCTTTCACTGGGCGTTAAAACGCAGACGCAGGGCCCTCACACACAAACTGTTTTCAGGGGACGAGTGATCATACGTTAGCGAGCACGAGCCCCAAACAGAGAGTTTTTACCGCCTGTGCAGTGCAATCTATGTGGCGCAGAGCAATGCAAGTCAACGCACTTCAATGCAAAGCAGTGCAATGCAATGCATTGCAATGCGATTGCAATGCAATGCAACGCAATGCGATTGCAAGCAATGTGATTGCAATGCGACCGGGTTGAAGAGGTGCAACGGATGGTGGCGGCGACTGGTGGGAACGGGGCCGCCAGGTCAAACGGGCTTGTTCTTTAGAAGCATGGTGCGGCGACGGACGAAAACGGGGCCGCCAGGACGGCAAACGGGTGCAGCTCTTTAGAGGGCGAGTAGGAACCCTGAAGTGCAAACCTTGCCTGGGGAAGAACGGATCATGGCCAAGCTAGCGCGGTGGACGGCCCCAGGAGACCACGGGAGACCAAGGTGCCCCACGGATTCCAGATCCGGCGACCGCCGAGTCAGACGAAGTATGGAGGACGCTGGCAGGCAAGTTGTTCCAGGAACCAGACGGAGAAAGGAGGGGGAGGAGGAGGAGAGTGGGAGGATGAGGAGGACGAGGTGGAGTACAGTCAACCATCATAGTGAAGATGGCAACTTTCCAAGGCTACCCTTGCATCCTTGCCCCTTCGGTATTCGGCATTCTTCGGCATTCTGCTGCGCTCCGCACGGAAAACGTCAACATGGCGCTCCTTATTATCCTGGTTGACTGTAGGAGGAAAAGGAGAAGGAGGAGGAGGAGGAGGAGATGAAGGAGGAGGAGGAGGAGAAGGAGGTGGAGGAGGAGGTGGAGGAGGAGGAGGAGGAAGACGATAAGGTGCATCGGGGATTTGACGACGTCGTTCTCAATTCTCTACGCTTCGCGTATCCCCACCAGCCCATCCCACAGCAGCAACTCTTGCGAAGCATGCCGACAGTCGTGTTTGTCAGGCGTGTGTCCGCTTGGGCCCGCATATCTCCCCTGTTCCTCCTTCCTCCCGCCTCCTTGTACATCCTCCTTGTGGGGGGAGCGGGAGAAGGACGAGGCGGAGGAGGAGGGAGAGAAAACGCTCCTCGTGGTTTGAGTCGTTTGGGGATTCTCGTCCTGGTGTGAGTCGTTCGGGCCCTTCTTCCTGGTGTGACTCGTTCGGGCTCCTCGTGGTGTGAGTCGTTCGGGCTCATCGTCGTGGTGTGAGTCGTTCG